TTTTTTTTTTTTTTTTTTTTTTTTGACAGTACCATACTGATTTTATCACAATAGCTTTGTAGTATAATGTCAAGTTAGGGATTGTGATGCCTTCTGCATTTCCTTCATTGCTCAGGATTGCTTTTGTTATTCTAGTTCTCTTCTGGTTCCCGATGAATTTTAGGAATGTTTTCTCTAGATCTCTGAAGTGTGCAAACAGTATTACAATTAGGATAGCAATGAATCTGTGTAACGAGTTTTGAGTATGGCCATTTAACAATGTTTTTTCTTTCTACCCAGGAGCAAGGAATATCTTTCCATTTTCTGAAATCCACTTCAATCTCTTTTTCCAAAGTACTATAATTGTCACTGTATAAATCTTTTACTTCCTTTATGAGACTCAGACCTAAGTATTTCACTTTTTGGAATGCTTTTGTGAAAGGTGTATTTTTCCTAATTTCTTTCTTGATGAGTTTATTGTTTGTGTATAGAAATGCTATTGATTTTTCGGTGTGGACTTTGTATCCTTCTATGGTACTTAATTTGGTTCTTAAATCTATAAAACACTTGGAGGAGGTTTTGGGGTCTTCTATATAGAGTATCATGTAATTTGCAAATAATGAAAATTTCACTTGTCACTTTCTAATCATTTTTCCTTTTATTTCTCTCTCATCTAATTGCTCTGGCTAATGTTTCCAGAACTGCATTGAATAGGAGTGGTTGAGAGTGCACAACCTTGTTTTGTTCTGGATTTTAAAGTGAAGGCTTTTTTCCTTGTCTATTTATTATGATATTGGCTGTTGGTTTCTCATAGCTGGCTTTTATCATGTTGAGGTAACGACCATCTATTCCAATTTTTTGTAGGATTTTTATCATGAGTGACTGCTGGAGTTTGTGAAAAGTGCTTTCTACATATATTGAGATGATCATATGGTTTTTGTCTTTGACTCTGCTTACATGAAGTATTACATTTATGGATTTGTATGTATATTGAACCATCCCTATATCCTGGGATGAATCTCACTTGATTGTGATATATAGTCTTCTTGATGATTTGGTGCATTCTGTTTGCTAGTATTTTATTGAGGATTTTTACATCTATGTTCATTAGTCTGTAGTTCTCTTTTTTTGGTTGAGTCTTTTCCTGGTTTTGGTATCAGAGTAATACTTGCCTCCCTGAATGTGTTTGAGAGAACTGCTTCCCTTTCAATTTCATTGAAGAGCTTGAGAAGAGTTGGTATTAGTTCTTGTCTGCATTTTTTTTTGTAGAATTCAACTGTAAATCCACCAGGACATGGTCTTTTATTTTTTGGTAGGTTTTTAAATTATATTTTTAATATCATTGACTGATATTGGGTTATTCAGAATTTTTACATCTTCTTGATTCAGCTTTGGTAGTTGACATACACCTAGGAATATGTCCATTACTTCTGTGTTTTCCATTCTGTGAGAGTAAAGATTTTGGAAGTAGATATTGATAATCTTCTGAATTTCTATAGGGACTGTGGTGATTCTTTATTGCATGAATTTGATTGTTTTTATTTCATGTTTTGGATGAGGTTGGCTAGGGTTTTATCAATTTTACTTATTCTTTTAGAGAACCAACTCTTTGTGTTTGTATTGTTTTCTTCATCTCCATTGCATTTATTTGTGCTCTGATTTTTATAATTTCCTCCCTTTTTTGGTCTTTGGATTTGGCTTGTTCTGCTTTCTTTAGAATCTTTTGGTGCAGGATCAGATTGTTTATTTGGGCTCATTCTATTTTCCTGATGTAAGAATTAACCCCTATGAATTTCTCTCTTAAGATGGCTTTCATTGCATCCCACAGGTTCCAGTAAGTTCATTATGAATATTGTTTAATTTCTTTTTTAATTTTATCTGTGACCCCTTAATTGCTCAGAAGGGTGTTATTTAGGTTCCATGTGTTTATTGGGTTCTTGCTATTTCTTTTGACAATAATTTCATTGTTCATTGTACTATGGTCAAAATATATGCATAGAATGATTTATTTTTTTTGCTTTTACTTAAGTATACTCTATGTGCTAATAAATGCTCTATTTTGGAGAAGTCCCATATACAGCTGAGAAGAATGTGTATTCTGACACTGTTGTTGGGAGCACTCTGTAAAGATCTACTAAGTCCATTTCTTCATAAGTTTAGTTTAGTGCTGTTATTTCTTTACTGATTGTTTGCCTAGTTGATCTGTCTCTTTGTGTCAATAGCATGTTAAAGCTCTTTTGATTTTCCATGTCTTTTATTTTATTTTATTTTAATTTTTTTGGCAGAACTGGGGATTAAACTCAGACCCTTGTGCTTGCCAGGCAAGTGCTTATTCTACTGAGCCATCTCCCCGGCCCCTTCCATGTCTTTTAAAATTTATCTTGTATAGTTGGCTGCTCATAAACTGGGTGCAGATACATTTGTAATTGTTACCTTGTCCTCTTAAAGTTTTCTCCCTAACAAGTGTGTAGTGACCTTTTGTGTCTCTTTCATTCCCTCTGGTTTGAAGTTGACATTGTCAGCAATCATAGCTTTTTTCTGTATTCTTGTCATATGGAGTATTGTTTTCCATCCTTTGACATTTAGTCTATTAATTTCTGTATGTGTTCAATGTGTTTCTTATATGAAATGTCGTGTTTGATTTTGTTTCTTGCAACATATCACTGGTCTT